ACACATAGAATTGTCTGTTTGCGTTAGCCGTCCCTAATTTAGTAGTGATAGACTAGAGGGAAGGCAGCTAGTCCACACCATCCACCGTCAAACTTTTGGGCTACTCTTTTGCCAACGAATAGTGGGATTGACCGTTACATTATAACGCCCTCACGGCTGAAAGAGCGAGCATGTTCGGTGACGGTGATTCGAAACCGCGACCTGCAGATTGCGAACCGAGCGCTCTTTACTCATAGGCACATTCATACAAGTATTTTAATATGCATACACATACGTCTGTGTGCATACGAATATAAGTCAGTCTCAAGAATCGCTTGTAATGAAAGATAACTTGTTCTTTAATGTTATTTTAGGTAGCAAAGACTTGTATTGTGCTATATTACACAAACTTCAAGGAGTATCTAGAAGTAGAACGTTGTCACTGAAATCTTTTTTTTTTTATAATGGATATTAGCAAATTTTCATATACTCTATGTTTTACTATTTTGTACATCAAATTATATCTTCTACATCGCCCGTTTGACCAATGTTTACGTCATATCTGAAATATTATTTGACATTCAGTAGTTAAAAGCTGATACTAAAACTAATCATATTTCAAATCAACTACTTTATTATTTAATTATATTATTTAATAATCGAACTGTAATCATTCGTAAGAGTGCGTTGTTGCGCTTTAAGAATTTTTTATTATTATGAAAATATGAAACTATTATCAAAAATAAATAGTAACCCTGGAATTAACGATGGGGTCCATATAGCGCCATTGGATTTTCAAATACACCTTTCTTAGCTATTTATATATCTCATTTTTTTTTCACGGATAACGTTGGGTACAGGATCCTTAATAACATATTAGTTACACAAAAAAAATGTGTACAAAAATACCGTAAATATTGCAAGGAACTTCACTAATTACTCCCGGAGTTTCTTATGTATCTTATAGAGAAACTGGGGGACTTCACCCAATGTATTTGGCCAGTTCTTAACAGTGAGCATTGTAACCGGCATAAATATAAAAGTCCTCAATATATATGATGCAATATGTGGACATTATCGGTAGTGAACGGCGCACAAACAGGTCGGTAAACTGAGGGTTGAAAACCTTCAGAAAACATGTAATGAATTTAGTCTCATACAAGGTACTATAATATAGGATATTTACCGTAATTAGTTGAAGCAAAGATCACTGATGGTAAGTTTGGAATCCGTGTCGTTAAAAATTCCGAGTTTTGGTTCTAAATAACTTAAGTAATAGCCGTAGCTTAATTTATTTTTGCCGAATTTAATAGACTATTGGAAATATGAAAAATATAATTTTTCATGAAGATACCCATATGCAATTATGTATAATGACGTTACGACATAAGAATATATATATATATATAAAGGCAGATTAAGTATATATTTCCAGCAAGACAATGAAACTCGGAGAGGAATAACACACACCAACTTATCTGTATGTAGAAAACATTTTCTACTAACTTTACTATACGTGTGTTAAGTGTTGGGAATAAAATAAAGTTTAGTTTGATATAAAACTTAATTATGCTCGTGTTCCTATCACTAATATAATTACATTTAGATTTTACACGCAAAAGTTTTAACAAACCGTCTAGAAGCAGAGAGCTATATCTTAGCTTTTTCTGATGTTAAAACTCTTATTCTTCTGCGTAAATTTAGAAATTCAACATTTTCAGATTTGTTTTAGTCACTAGCTTTCTGTTTGTAGTGTTGATGTTACGCATGACTACCACTAGTTTTCTGGTTGTAGTGTCGATGCTACGCATCACTATCACTAATTTTCTGTGTGTTGTGTTGATGTTACGCATGACTATCACTAGTTTTCTGGTTGTAGTGTTGTTATTACGCATCACTATCACTAATTTTCTGTTTGTTGTGTTGATGTTACGTATCACTATCACTAGTTTTCTGGTTGTAGTATTGTTGTTATGTATCACTATTACTAGTTTTCTGGTTTTAGTGTTGTTGTTATTACGCATCACTATCACTAGTTTTTCTGGTTGTAGTGTTGTTGTTACGCATCACTATCACCAATTTTCTGTTTGTTGTGTTGATGTTACGTATCACTATCACTAATTTTCTGGTTGTAGTGATGATGGTACGTATCACTATCACTAGTTTTCTGGTTGTAGTATTGATGGTAAGTATCACTATCACTAGTTTTAGTGTTAATGCTACGCATGATTATCACTACTTCACTGGTTGTAGTGTCTAACACATTAGCCTTTACTGGTCGTTGCCAAACATGCACGTGTACAAGAAGCAGAGCTGTAAAAAAAAAATCTACATTTCAGATATATATATAGTCATACAGCATCTAGTGATACGAACATGAAAGCAGTGGTTTTATAGATAAATATAAATATCAGTTTTACTTTATAAAAACGCGCAGTTTTAAATAAATCTACCGAATACCCACATTGGTAAGATCACATGTTCTTAAGAATCGAATTCTCTGAACTGGTCTTTTTAATAGTATCAAAGTCGTTTTTGGTAATACATTTAAAAATTGTAGAGAAAAATCACTAATCTTATAAAGTAAAGCGCCGGTCACAGTGTAAGAACACACCTAGAACATAGACAAAGTAAACGATCGTATTTATATAATCTGACAAATGAGTAGACGTAAATACAGAGATGATGCAGGGTT